GATTATGTATTTCTGCTCAGCTAGCAACACTGGACATGTGTACACTTTTTATTTATTTTTTTATTTACGTATAACAGTTCTTTCTAATAATGTATGAGACAGGGCTGTTAGACAAACCGTAAACTAATGAACATGGAGCATGCGAGCACTGTGTGCTTAGGCTCTGGCGTTGTCAAAATAAGTCACATAAGCGTGGCTTACGTCACTTCAGAGTTCCTACTGGCGGTGCAAATGCAACCAGGAAAACGTTCCTATGGGAACCATTCGTCCGTGTAGAACTACGCGGTGCGAAATCTCCCAGATTTGATGAAACTTCAGCTGTGTGTTAGCTGTAGGAAGCTGATGACATGGATGTGACTATTGTGAGTCAGTTATAGAGCCACCAAATGGCAGATGGAAGCATGTCACTTTCGTAAAGCAGACGTAAACCTGTGAAAGGATTCTTGAATACTGTTGTTATGGCAACGCATCAAACTTTTTATATTTCTTTTGGGTATTTCTGAGACTCTTAGCATGCTTCAAATTGCATGAAACTCGACACGCACACATCAGAGTTGTAAGCCAGTAGACATGGGCAAAGCCTTAAAAATGGGCGTGTAGGAGCGGCTAAGTAGCGTCACAAACTTCCCTGCCACAAAGTGGGTGGTTAGTTTTACCTACAGTCAACAAACTTGGTACATTACTGTATATTATTCTCATCGAGCCGGGCGACTTTCTAATTTACAGTCACCAACAGGAAGTTAGATATTTTTGTTTGAATGTGGATTTTTGGAATCAAGCTCTGAATTTTTAACTACTGCTCCAAGGAGCCTCATACGATTCACACCAAACTTTCTCAACATGATGCCAATATATTGAAGAGGCTACATTTCAAATGGGTCTCTTGAACGGAGTTGATGAAATAAAATAATGACAAAAAGGGAAACAGGAAGAGTCTCATATCTTCTAAATAACAAATTATACACCATTTATTTCTATATAAAATAATACAAATAAGAAGTAAAAATCACATTTTATTATTTTTCATAAAATGCATTTGTGCTATCTGGTTGAAATAAATAAAATAAAATGTAATACATAGTATAACCACTAGTGTGCAGCATAGGCCTATATTTAAACAGGGTTGAAAAAGCCTTGTTGCTGAGAATTTTTCAGACATAATTATCAAAAATGTTGAATTTTCTGGCTCAACTAACTGGTAAACAGTCTCTAACTCTTGAGAATCTTCCCCAAAGAGATGCTGAACAGGAGTCCTCAGAGCATTTTGACTGAGCTTTATCCCTGAGACTCCAAACATTATTCTTACTTCCTTCCTTGTTCATTCACTTTGTCTTTCAATCAGCTGTGACTCTGTCTGATTTGAATCAAATCATCAAACCTTGACCTGGTGTAAATACATTTTGGTACTTATAGATTGTTACTCAGTCTCTCTGCTCAAATCTATCAAATAGATTTTACTCTATCTCTCTGCTCAAATCTAGTACACCAAGTCTACACTGATGGATTACAAAGTTGTTTTCATTGCTGTTCTTGGTATTTATTTCTTTTATTAAAGCAAACATGTTATGAATATCGTTGCTGCCCTGCAGTGTGGACGTTTTTTTGTGAGTTGCTCAGTGTGTTAAATTGTGTATATTGTCTTTTTTTTTTTTTTTTGCCTAACCATGTAACTTGCTAAGTTGGTAAAAGGTACAGGATTGTTTTTAAACGCAATTTAGCATTAAATTCCCCCCGATTTAGCATAAACTGAGCTTTGTTCTTTCTTCTGTATGTTCCCAATCCTAAAACTTACCTACCCCGTATATCAGTAATTGTCTCTCTGCACAGTTTGTATTACATTATGACAATTAAACAAAACTATTTATAAAGGTCACATTTTGTGTAAAGTGTATGAGAATATCCTATGCAGACAATACACAGTTACACACTTTAAAATGTTTAAACAGCACAGGGAATCAGAGCCTTCATAAAACCATCATCAATTATCTTTTAACAGCCAGTTAGTTTCCCAGGTGAACAATGTTTCATCTAATTAGTTATTTGCCCTAATTGGACTGATGAAGGCCTATAAAATACACTTATCTCCAGTTAGATATGTTTGCAATTGTAGTGTCTGTGTGGTGGTTTGAGAAAGTGAATGTTGGGGCATTGGAGTACTCAGGGTTTTTTGTTTGCCATGGATAAAGGGTGGACACAGTGAGTTTATTCAATCAATCTCGGTTTGTGAATGATTCAGCAAATAATTAATCTTCTTTATGTATTTTATATATTTACTTTTAGGTTACCCTTGTTTGTAATCTTCCTGCTCTTTTTGAGTAATACTCATGGATTTAAAGGTAAGATTAATGTTTTTGGTGTTTTTTTTTATATTTTCTCTCGTAAAGGATTTTAAATTGTGAGGTTTCTTTTTCTACAAGTCTTCTATTTTGTGTAATTCACAGGTGGGGCTCATTCAGATGCCCGCCACCGGTGGGGCCAAGCTTCAGACAGAACGTTCTCACCTCGTGCAGTCCAGTCTTCTGTGTCAGAGGTCCCTGTGACTGGGATTTTGCCTGAAGAAGTGGGCTCTAGTTTATTCGCTAACAGACCCCTGAAAAGGTTGAACTTACTCCAATTTGTTAAAGGTGGTGTTTCCAGCAGGCATGAATCAATGTCCCATGCCCAGACAGCTCCAAGCAGCTCTGTTTTAGCTTCCTTGCCTCTACCCTTAAATGAACGGCGTGCAGGCCGTTTGACATCGCTCCAGGGTTCCTCTGGATCAGCCGCTACAGATACTACTAGTGTTTCTACACAAGGAGAAAGTAGCTTCCCTGCCACACTTGGCACTTCTGGCCTGTCCACCAGTGATGAAAGCTCCCCTAGTTTGTACATGTCCAGCTCCCTGGAAACCTCTGGTGCTAAATCAGCAGAAGCCACTTTGCCTGTGTTCTCTCAGGAGAGTATCTCTTACAGCAGTTCATCTGCTCCAGGTGCCACGTACACTTCTCAAGGTAGCCCAGTGCTGGCTTCAGAAGGCTCTGGTCAATCCATCTCCCCTCAGGGTGAAAGCAGTTACAGTGGCTCGCCTCAGTCTCAAGGTGCCTCGAGTCAATATAACCCAGGCTCCTATAACATGCTCAGTTCTTCATCTGTTTCTAGTCAGTCTACCAGTGACCAGAGTACCCCCGGTTTGTATAGTTCTAGCTTTCAGGGAAGTTCGGGCAGTTTGTTGGAAGCTTCTGGCTCTTCTTTTCAAGGGGAAGTGGCAGGGCTTAGCTCTCATGTTGACTTGTCTCCCCAATCACAAGACAACTCCAGTCAGCTTCTACCCTCACAAATGGAGGTCTCTAGCCAGTCTACTAATGGTCAAAGCACTCCCAGCTTGTTTATGCTTGGCTCTGAGAGCAGTTCAGATTCACAGTCAACAGGTCCTGCTTCACCTCTAGACACTCAGGGTAGTCTCTCTCAAAGCATTTCTAGCCAGTCCACAAGCGTTCAAAGTTCACCTAGTGTGTCTACAAGCACCCAGAGCAGGTCTGCCACTCAATTAACTTCCAGTAATTTTTTTCCTGTGCAGGGAGGTAGTAGTTCTACTTCTAGCTTCTATCTGAAGCCTCAGGGCACTCTGGGTCTGTATGCCCCTGCGTCCCGTACCAAATATGTGAGTTCCCCCATGTCATCACACCCAGCTGTTTATAGCCAGTCAAAAAGTAGCTCTGGTCCTTGGTTTGGGGGCTCTACTGGCTTTGCCTCCCATGGAATAAGTAGCACTTACAGTGGTTCTGTCCAGCCTCAAGGTACCACAAGTCAGTTTGCCTCTGGGTCTCCATCCTACTATCCAAGTGTATCACTATCCTCGCCACAAGGGGCCTCCAGTCAGTCTGCTACAGTCCAAAGTTCACGGAAGCAGATTGCCTCTAGCTATGGCACCCAGTCAGGGTCCTCTAAGCCATTCACTCTGCAGGGAAGCTCCACTTATGGTGGGTCACTCCAGCCTCAAGGTACCTCAAATCAGTTTGCCTCTGGGTCTCCATCCTCCTATCCAAGTGTATCACTATTCTCACCCCAAGGTGCCTCCAGTCAGTCTGCTACAGTCCAGAGTTCACGGAAGCAGATTGCCTCTAGCTATGGCACCCAGTCAGGGTCCTCTAAGCCATTCACTCTGCAGGGAAGCTCCACTTATGGTGGGTCACTCCAGCCTCAGGGTACCACAAGTCAGTTTGCCTCTGGGTCTCCATCCTACTATCCAAGTGTATCACTATTCTCACCCCAAGGTGCCTCCAGTCAGTCTGCTGCAGTCCAGAGTTCACAGAAGCAGTTTACCTCTACCTTCACAGGCAACTCTGGCACCCAGGAAGGACCCTCTGTTCCCTTCAAATGGCAGGGAAGCACCACCTATGGTGGATCACTCCAGCCTCAAGATACCACAAGTCAGTTTGCCTCTGGGTCTCCATCCTCCTATCCAAGTGTATCACTATTCTCACCCCAAGGTGCCTCCAGTCAGTCTGCTACAGTACAGAGTTCACGGAAGCAGTTCACCTCTAGCTATGGCACCCAGTCAGGGTCCTCTAAGCCATTCACCCTGCAGGGAAGCACCACTTATGGTGGATCACTCCAGCTTCAAGATACCTCAAATCAGTTTGCCTCTGGGTCTCCATCCTCCTATCCAAGTGTATCACTATTCTCACCCCAAGGTGCCTCCAGTCAGTCTGCTACAGTCCAGAGTTCACGGAAGCAGATTGCCTCTAGCTATGGCACCCAGTCAGGGTCCTCTAAGCCATTCACCCTGCAGGGAAGCACCACCTATGGTGGATCACTCCAGCCTCAAGATACCTCAAATCAGTTTGCCTCTGGGTCTCCATCCTCCTATCCAAGTGTATCACTATTCTCACCCCAAGGTGCCTCCAGTCAGTCTGCTGCAGTACAGACTTCACAGAAGCAGTTTACCTCTACCTTCACAGGCAACTCTGGCACCCAGGAAGGACCCTCTGCTCCCTTCAAATGGCAGGGAAGCACCACCTATGGTGGATCACTCCAGCCTCAAGATACCACAAGTCAGTTCGCCTCTGGATCTCCATCCTACTATCCAAGTGTATCACTATCCTCGCCACAAGGGGCCTCCAGTCAGTCTGCTACAGTCCAGAGTTCACGGAAGCAGATTGCCTCTAGCTATGGCACCCAGTCAGGGTCCTCTAAGCCATTCACTCTGCAGGGAAGCTCCACTTATGGTGGGTCACTCCAGCCTCAAGGTACCACAAGTCAGTTTGCCTCTGGGTCTCCATCCTACTATCCAAGTGTATCACTATTCTCACCCCAAGGTGCCTCCAGTCAGTCTGCTGCAGTACAGACTTCACAGAAGCAGTTTACCTCTACCTTCACAGTCAACTCTGGCACCCAGGAAGGACCCTCTGCTCCCTTCAAATGGCAGGGAAGCACCACCTATGGTGGATCGCTCCAGCCTCAAGATACCACAAGTCAGTTCGCCTCTGGATCTCCATCCTACTATCCAAGTGTATCACTATCCTCGCCACAAGGGGCCTCCAGTCAGTCTGCTACAGTCCAGAGTTCACGGAAGCAGTTCACCTCTAGCTATGGCACCCAGTCAGGGTCCTCTAAGCCATTCACCCTGCAGGGAAGCACCACCTATGGTGGATCACTCCAGCCTCAAGATACCTCAAATCAGTTTGCCTCTGGGTCTCCATCATCCTATCCAAGTGTATCACTATTCTCACCCCAAGGTGCCTCCAGTCAGTCTGCTACAGTCCAGAGTTCACGGAAGCAGTTCACCTCTAGCTATGGCACCCAGTCAGGGTCCTCTAAGCCATTCACCCTGCAGGGAAGCACCACCTATGGTGGATCACTCCAGCCTCAAGATACCTCAAATCAGTTTGCCTCTGGGTCTCCATCCTCCTATCCAAGTGTATCACTATTCTCACCCCAAGGTGCCTCCAGTCAGTCTGCTACAGTCCAGAGTTCACGGAAGCAGTTCACCTCTAGCTATGGCACCCAGTCAGGGTCCTCTAAGCCATTCACCCTTCAGGGAAGCACCACCTATGGTGGATCACTCCAGCCTCAAGATACCACAAGTCAGTTTGCCTCTGGGTCTCCATCCTCCTATAATGGTCATTGTGTATCGTTGTCCTCGCCCCAAGGTGTTGCCGACCAGTCCAGCCAAGCATTTCAAAGCTTTTCTGGGTCCCAAAGCCAAAAGTCTCAAAGATGGCAGCCTTCACGAGGTATTCAGACCTCAGGTGCAGCTGCATCACAGGGCAGCTCTCTGTCTCAAAGCTCTCCAATGCAGAGTTTGTTTCCTTCCCTGTCATCAGCAGGAGGCTCATCTTCAGGAGATCCTGGACCGTTTGTTTCTGCACAGGGTGGTAGCAGCAGATATGGTGGCTTTTCTCTTCATTCTCAAAGCCCCTCTAGCAAGTACACCCCTGGGTCTCATGCATATGCCAAGCTTGCTTCCTCTCCCCTAGCTGTTTCTAGCCAGTCTACCAGTGATAAGCGGTCAAATGGCCTGTATAGCTCAGACTCTCTGCGAACCCTGGGTCTCATTGGTGTAGTTGAAAGACCCTCTAGACTCCCATCTCAAGCTCCTTCTGACTCTACAAGCAGTAACCAGATATCTGAGCATTTTGTGGCCATGCAACGCCCCACAGGTTCAAACCTAACTCCATCTCTAGGCTTGAGTGCCCAAGCATCATCTGTTGGCATGTTCTCTGGTATCCCACAGACTGCGCAGGCTCTACGTGAATCTGGGTCAGATGTCCAGCTATACAATCGACCATTCCTCAATCAGCTATACTCCGTAAAGGGCTAAGGGACTCTATAAAACAGCTACATTATGCAAAGTGATGTCTTCCAGAATATAAAATCTAATAAATGTTTGTAACAGGTTTTTTTCTTGTGCTGTTTTGTGTTTAAGCTACATTCAAAGGATAGAACCTCAAATTTGAATGTTTTTGCACTTATGCCAGATCTATTAATATTCATTGGTTTGTCCATTGATTCAAATAATTTAATACATGGTTGATCAAATTTTAAGTTTATTGGGCAAGTGAAAAACCATTGCAAAAATGATCTACTGGCCAGAGATTCAAATCAATAACTTTACTGAACTTAACCTGAGGTTAAAAACTGAAGATTAAAAATAGCTTCTAGACTAAAAGATTTGTTATAAACTGAAGTCTGTGTAGTAGTTGGTGGGGCTACAGGGTTTAAGTGGGAGAAACCAATGTGCCAAAGTTCACTTCTTAACATCCCATCTTACAGCTGAAGATTCCCAGCGAGAGGAAAATGTCAGGACAAAAACAATAAAATCCTGCCCTCTTTGTCTGGTCCATAACATGTTTGGTCCATTGTACTTAAGAAATTCAGTGTTTGATATACCATGCCGATAGAAATGGACAACATGTTCTCATGAGTATTCGTATGTATTTTGCCACACGTACATTTACTTGTGTTCCCATAGACACTGAAACCTACAATATTGACGTATTGACAGGACTATAACATCAATTATTTACGTATGAACAACTTTACAGACTTACAAATGTGTATAAAATCCTTATTTATGAACATTAAAATTGTGGCAATATCTCGATTCTATTGTATTCAATTGTCATATCAATGACATTATGTTTTCAGTCACATTTATGAGAAACTGTTTACTCATCCACTTAATTTGGGGTCATTAACCTGCTCAAAAACACTTTGCACACGTTGAAATTGTCGGCCATCAGGGTCACTGATGACACAAGTGACCACACAAGATGACATGGTGGGGTCATGGGTTGTATTTGAGGGGCTCTGTAGCACACCCCTTTTTACCTAAAGTAGCCAAACTTCATACACTTATTGATCTCATTGGGCCAAACAAATTTTCGATCAGATTTTCAATATCCCGAACGGTTTGGCTGTGGCAAGGCAACAAATTTATGGCAAAAAAAAAGGAAACAGGAAGTGTGTTATAACTTCTGCATACATTGTGTCACCGAGGCTCACCCCAATCGACCTGATGGTGGTGCTACAATGATCAAAAGTACATAATGGGTCATAAATCCTAAACCATTTGTCACAGGCTCAAGTGTCTTATATCATTGGAATCCTTGACAGAAAGCATGTCTTGGAATGATGTCATACTGGTAAAATTCAGGGGAATGTTTTCAAGAAACCTGTATACTTTTGTGAGCTAAACCTAGGTTTTTTGCCCGATCGGAACCAAACACATGCAAAAAGATTCTCTAGAGTCTGGTTGTCCATTATCAAGCCAATTTCCATTCACATTTGCAACAGGGCGCCAGAATGTTTGACGTGGGCGTGGTTACTTCTACTAAAACGACCATCCCTCTTGTACACATGTATGGGCTCAGTCTGGGGTCGTGTGAAAAATGACGTGGTGACTAGGGGTAGGAATCACAGGATAGGCTACGAAAGTTATCTTTGTAGATATCATTCTTTGTGTGAACAGGCCTTTATTGTTTACATTAGGTAGTACACATGCACAAATCAGGATGACTGATAAAAATGAAAGATTGAGAAGGGTATATAGATATGTTCAGAATAGCATACTACCATAACATGCAAATTATCCCAGAATGCAACACACTGTACCTTCCATGAGAAATTTAATTCTCATGTTTTGATCCAACTGCAGACGTAAATACATTTTTACACAAAATTAAAAAAAAAATGCAAAAACAGCTTTTTATTTCTTTGATGATTGCGGAACGTAAATTGCTGAATTAAACAAACAACGTTTATGGTTGTTCTGTTTGACAAACTATTTTAAAAAGTATGGCTCCGTCCGAAATCACATAGCTACTTTGAACTACATAGACTTTGAACTTAAACATGACTGGGGCATCTATTATTGTAGGCTACTCGCACTGATTTCCACCATCCCGATAAAAGCCTCTTTTTCTTAGGCTAGTTAACTTATGTCCACGTTTCACGTTTACATGTTGAGCGCCACCTTGAGGACCCATGAAGTAGCGACGCTGGGAGCAGGGAAATCTATTTAGAGCGCCTTATTTTATTTAAAAAAATATCGCTATTTGACGCCAGCGTATCGATTATCGTATCGCACAGAGCATCAAGGCGTTCCTCCTAAACTTACAGCTCCTCTGGGTAGACCCATGCAGGAAGTCTAAGTTATTTGCCTTCAAGAGCACCTGAGGGGCCTGACAGAGCCCACCAGTCCTACTCTCCATCGTCGTCCTCCTCAGTTTCCTCCATGCTGCCGCTCCCTGCCCTCAGCTCAGGGACCAAAATGAGCGGCTTCAGTAGCGCTCAGTTTCAGACTCTTACTCTAGCTCTTCTTCAAAAGAAGGGTCCCGTAGCAAAAGAAATGCTGATGACAGGGGTCGTCATGGAGAATTTCATTATCGTCATGGTGACAGACAAGTCGGGAGAGACCGTGATCGCTACGGAGAAAGGGACCGCTATAGTGACCGAGATCACTGTGCTGCTTCACAAACTATTTGTGAACTTAACTATATTTTCTTTAACATTCTCCAGCATGTTTTAATGTGTGCTATGTCATGTTTCAAACGCCAACATTTTTTTAAGTTCTTAATGTCTAATGAGCTTAACTTTTGTATTTTAAATTAAATTGTTTTAGTAGACTGTTCAGATTATAGTCTTTCAGTGCTGAGCAGCGTATAGTATGCCACAAACACTCTGATCAACCTAAACATAACAGTTGCAATGGGGAGAAAAAATATCAGTGAATCTATAATCAAATAATGTTATGATCCTGCATTCCTTTGATTCTGAACTAAATTTCTCCATTTCAGACCCCCGTGAAGATTGCTGTTGATGTGAGGGAAGAACGTTTGTTATAATCTAAACCTGAAACATACTAAACTTTATTATTCTGGATACTCTAGTGTGCAATTCTGTCTGTGGCCATGTTTCTGAATTAATAAAAAAGGAAGAAACAAAAAGACTTTTTTGATCTAAAGACATTTTGTTATCTAAAATAAGCAATCATTTGGTTTAGCTACTAATAACATGCCCTTATATGTAAATTCATTTTATTCTGCGTAGTAAAGAATCAATGACTTTCACCTGTGACATATTGATTGAGTAAATTGGCAGGTCTAGAGAAAAATGATGCTTGTCACGAGAGAGGTGGAGCCTTTCTGATTTACATCTGCATAAATTGGGATGGTAGCACCCTAATGTGTCATTGAAACAAGCTTGGCAATAATGGGGTTTTGGCAGGTTGGATTCGGATTGGTGTTTATTCTTGCACTTGGATTGTCTGAAGCACAATGGAGGGCAAGAGCAGCACATAATCGGAGTCCAAGCGAGTTTAGGCCTAGAACATTAGCTCAAGCTTCTCAACAGGCTGATTCCAGGATGTCTTTGGTTCCCAGTAACACTGCATTTGCACCACAAAGTTTTCCCGCTCAGTTTCCTGTCCAGACACCAGTCAGGACTGACTTTGGAAAGTCTTCTCAAGATCTTATGGGTGTTCAATTAAAAGAGCTGTTGCAGGGTCCAGTGGCGACACTGACGTGGAGTTTTCCAAGTCTACCAGAGGAACCGCAGCAGCCAGACGTTCCTTTTGAGTTGCCTTATCCTGTCCCTGCCAACAGTGTAGCTGCTCAGTGTGGAGAGAATTCAGTATATGTGGAAGTGATGAAGGACTTCTTTGGGACTGGGCACCCACTGTTGTCCTCTGGTTTTACACTGGGAGGCTGTACTGCAACTGGAGAGGATTCTTCTGCTCAAGTGCTGATCTTTGAGTCTGAACTGCATGGATGTAGCGGTACATCAATGGTAAGGTTCTGTTGTGACAATCATAGGTATTCTGAATTGTCCATGTGACTGTTCTTCTATTAACCTTTCTGTTTAGGTGACTGAGGATGAGCTTGTCTATAGGTTCAACATTATGTACACCCCACAAGAGGCTTCATATGGTGTTCCTATTGTCAGGAGCAGTGGTGCGGTGGTTGGTATCGAGTGTCATTATCCAAGGTGAGGATTCAATTAATTCAGGCTCACCCAATGTTCTAATCCTGCCGTTTATGGGCAAGAGATGACCGCTTGTTTAACTCCTACAGAACACATAATGTGAGCAGCGATGCCTTAATGCCCACTTGGATCCCATATGCCTCAACTGAGGTTGCAGAGGACGTCTTTGTCTTCTCCCTCAAGCTCATGACTGGTTGGTGTAGCCCATACAGATTTGTAGAATGCTTGTGAATCATCTGTTAAGATAATTATTTTACTTTTTTTTTTTCAGATGACTGGAGATTTGAGAGACCTTCTAACCAGTACTTCCTGGGTGACATGATAAATCTTGAAGCGTCAGTGCGTTTGTACAGCCATGTTCCCATCCGTGTGTTTGTGGACAGCTGCGTGGCTACTGCAGTCCCTGATGTTGCTTCTGTCCCCAGATACTCCTTTATTAAGAATAATGGGTAAGAGGTGCTACCTCATGTATCCCAGCTTCCATAAGGGTTGTGTGATTTCTAACTGGGTTCTGTTCACAGGTGCCTGGTTGATGCCAAGCTCACAGGCTCCACGTCTCACTTTATGCCCCGGACTCAAGGTGATAAGCTAGGGTTTCAGCTAGAGGCGTTCAGGTTCCAGCAAGCAGACAGTGGGCTGGTATGCATGTCCTGTAGTTGTGCAACTCTTTGTATGATATGCTGCCATGGTGTACAAACCATTGTCTCTGCAGGTCTACATCACATGCATTTTGAAGGTGGCTGCAGCAACCTCTCCAAGTTCTGAACAGAAAGCTTGTTCATTCTCTGCTAATGGGTATGTTGCCCGCTAAATAAGTGTACAGGTGAATTGGTTGCG